TTTGCTATACTGGGGATGCACCTGGGACCTCATACATGCTAGGTAAGTGTTCAACCACTGTACTTCAGCCCAAACCCACCCACCTCTTTTTTTGTAGGCAGGGTCTGGCTTGAACACAGTACCCTCCTGCCTCAGATTCCATAGTGCTAGGATTACAGCATGAACCACCATGCCTGGCATGATCTCCTTTCTTTACTTCTTCCATTCCAACACCTCTGGGGACACATGCTAATAAATTAGTAGGGGGTTCTGAATCATGGGGACCCCAAGATTCATGGGAAACCCATGTCGAGGACACATCTGTTTGAAAATTTTCCTTAAAGTTTCTCCTGTGGTTTGGGAGAACGGTGATGTGACAGATGTCTTTCACAAAGTGGCATTCAGTTTTTGTAGTCTTTTAGGGAAACTCAATGCTGCTGGTCGACCATTATATTATTTCTTCAGACAAAGAAATGAATCTTGTGACCTGAAGTCTGTTTTGCAGCCTGTTTTTTTCTCTTGGCTCTTGATCATGGTGCCTCGTCTCCTTACACATTTAAGTTTTTTTTATTCATTTACTTATCTATTCATTCTTTTTTTTTTATTGTGACCTACACTTGTGTGTGTGTGTGTGTGTGTGTGTGGTACCGGGATTTGAATTCAGTGCTTCCTAGGCAGATGCTCTACCACTGGAGCCACTCCGCCAACCTTTTTTTATGTTGGGTATTTTTGAAATAGGTTCTCTCTTTTTTTTTTTTTTTTTTTTTACCCAGACTGGCCTCAAACCTCGATCCTCCTGATCTCTGCCTCCCAAGTTGCTAGGATTATAGGCATAAGCCACCAGTGCCCAGCCCATCTTGGAATTTTTTTGGAGAGTCTTCAGACAGTATTCATCTCACTAGCATACAAAGGACAGTCATCACTCCAGGGATGCCAAGCGTCTTAGAAACTCTTCTGTCAAGCCAGTCATGATGGCTCATACCTGTGTGATCACAGCACTTGGGCACTAGAAGCAGGAGGATTGAGAGTTCAAGGCCAATGTGGGCTACACAGTGAGTTCAAGGCCAGCCTGAACTATATAGTGGATCGTATCTCAAAAAAAAAACAAAAAACCAAAAAAAAAAAAACAGAAGAGAAACTCTAATGGAAGGAGCCTAGAACTAAGATACAATAGGGTAGCCCTCTTTAAGCACAATTTTGCTTTCCAAGGTTTTGGCTACCCTTGGTCCAAAATATTAAATAGAAAATGATTCAGGATCATCATTGACAAATGATCCTCCTTCTGATATATCAGAAGGTCAACAGTAACCCAGGCCTATGATTGGCAATATCTTTCCCTTCATGTCATCTCATCATATAGGCATTGTGTCATTTCACATCATCACAAGAAGGACAGGTACAGTATAAGATATCTTGAGAGAGAGAGAGAAACCACATTCACACCCTTTTTTATTATTTTCTATTTTCTATTATTATTTTCTATTTTATTATTAGTTATTGTTGTCATAATTTTTCTATTTTATTATTAGTTACTGTTGTCAATCTGTTACTGTACCTAATTTGTAAATTAAACTTTATCATAGGTATGCATGTACATGAGAAAAAAACATAGTGTACATAGGGTTTGGTACTATCTGAGGTCTCAGACAGCCACTGGGCTCTTGGAATGTATCCCCATAGATAAAAAGGGCCTGCTGTAATATTATGTGGGTACCCTCAATGAGCATATAATGTGACAGGAAGGGAGAACAGAACATGGTAGGTAGTCATGCCTTTAATCCCAGCATTTAGAAGGGTGAGGCAGGAGGATTCCAGTTTGAGGCCAGATTCTGCCCCCGACCACACTGAGGCAGGTTAGAAGTAAGAAAAGTTTGGGGTTCCTGTAGGTTGCCTGGGGATGGCCCAAACCACCCTCACCTGGTCAGGAACCACTTATGCCCCTCCCTATTTGTTCATTATTGGGTGGGAATCTCAACCACCCTCACCTGGCCGGGAACCACCCATGCCCCTGCCAATCATCAATTATTGGCTGGGAATCTCCTTCCCTTCCTATAGGTTATTGTAGGTTTTAAAATTACCTGAAGGGAGAAACACACTCTGAGCTTCGGGCTTCCACCTGGACCCTGCCACTCTTCCCTTTGTATTCATTTTCCTTAACTTTTAATAAATTCTCTTTACACCCACTTGTCCTACCATGAATTCTTTCTAGAGGAATATGAAAAGTTTGGAATTCTTCTGATCACAGGCTGCACCACTCCCAAAATGGACATGGTACTCACTCAAGAAATCACACCCAGCTGGGCACCGGTGGCTCACAACTGTAATCCTAGCTACTTAGGAAGCAGAGATCAGGAGGATCACAGTTCAGAGCTAACCCAGGCAACAGTTCATTAGACGCTACCTTGAAAACCCCATCACAAAAAAGGGCTGGTGGAGTGGCTTCAGGTGTAGGCCCTGAGTTCAAGCCCCAGTCCTGCAAAAAAAAAAAAAAAAAGGAAATCATATCCTATCTTGGAAGACAGCTTCAAATCAAACATTTAAATTGAGTGATTGAGAGAGCCTGGAGTGGATTCTACTTGAATACAGGTACACTATTAAAAAAAGTAAGTTATTTATACAATGCTTAGGATTTAGCAATAGAAATTGAAACTGGAATTTTGGACCCAAGACCCAAACTCCTGAGATTTCATATGGCAGGTTCAGCCACCCGTTCCTAAATGCCAAATAAAGAGGCACAGTGAAGGCAGAGAAAGGAGGTTTATTACACTGCTAGGGACATGCCATAGGAAGAGGCAGAGTAAGCACTCAGCTAATCTTCAGCCATCTTCGGGGTACAGACATGAGCTAAAGGTTTAAATAGATAAGAGAACTGGGAGCAGGGGACAAAGGTATGCATAGTTAAACAGCCCCATCACAGGTGTAGTTGTGACTGGTGGAGCAGTCTTGGTCAGGCAGGTGGTCTGGCCCAGTTTTGGAAAGTTATCACCTGGAGGGAGTAATCTGGTTCCTGTTTGAGAGGATTCTTGGGATAATTGTCCTCACTGGGAGGGTGGCAGCTCCAGGTGGCTCCAGTTTATTGTCATAAAGATATTATCAGTTTTGTCCTTTTTGGAATCCAAATGATTGTAAAGTGACTGTAAAGAGAATGGCTTAGCGCAAAGACAGATACAAAATTGAGACAGAGATGCCAAGCTTTTCCTGTTTTTAGTTAATTTGTGGACTCAAGGAGTCAGTAGTGCTCTTCAGCAAAAGCAGCTTGAGTGCCTCTTACAAAATGGGTAGGTCAATGGTGGTAGGAGTGGGGTCCCTTAGGCACTGAACATCTGGTGACAACCACGTACTGATGAAGAGCAGGGAGTTGCTGAAGCAGAGGAAAAAAGAGTTCAAATATGGGGGAAAATAGTTAGATGGCATACTTCTAAAAAGAACTTGAAAAGGAGCAAATATTCACCAATTACTAAATTCATATAAAGTATCTTAGAATTTGCCTCCTCTACTTTACATACATTTTTCTTAATTTTTACTTTTGGCAGTACTGGGGTTTGAACTTAATTTTTACTTTTGGCAGTACTGGGGTCTACACTTCCTAGACAGGCATTTTGACACTTGAGCCACTCTGCCAGACCCTGTACATATAAATACCAGAGAAAAAGCAGGGACTCTACTAATGTTTCATTCAAACAATCTGTCTCCTTTAATTCATCAATGCTGGAGTGAAAACAGGTAAATAACCTGCAGCTGGGAGCAAAGGCCTCAGGCCAGTGACTCCAAGCTGCGGTCCATCCGCCTACAAAGGGAGGACAATGAGTTCCCTCTTGGTGCTTCCCTGGCAGCTGCCCTCCCCTGTATGTGGCCTCCAACTGCTCAGAACAGAAACAGGAGTGGTGACAAGTGAGAAACTGCAGAGCACTGGAAAGCAGGAGTCACACATGAAGCTACAGTTGACAGGACCTAAGTGCTTTCTGAGGTTGTAATTCTGGTTTCCTTGGGGCTGTATTCTGGACAGTGTTTTCGTTTGGGCATGCATAGAGTTGCTGGAGCCAGACCATAATTTGTATATCTGAAGAAAATCTGTGGTCAGGCTTAAAAAAAGGCAGTCCCCAGGCTTTATGCACTTGACAGTTGAGGTCAGAACATTAATAACTCCAGGTGAGAGTTTCCCTCTGGTAAATCTTGAGGTGGTGAAAAAGGGAGCGTTCCCATTTGGGGAGGAGGGGACAGCAGAGTTCAATGCATAGGTGCCCTGCCTCAGCACCCAAGAGTGATGCACTCCGGAGCTCCATTTAGTCATCAGCTGGCTCCCAAGATCCAAACTTGGGAGTATGTTTAATTTTCTAAATGTGAGTTTTCCTGTGACCTGTGTGAAGCAGACTGCATGCCTGAGCTAATTCAAATGTCTGCTTTTCTTCCCCCTTGATTTGTTTATAGAGTATTACTGCCATACAACTCCAGATTTTTTCCTGTTTGCGGGTTTTTATTTTCTTGGTCAAAAATAAGTAGATTGAGAGAAGGCATAAGTAAGCCTTGGCATCCTCTCATCCCCAATTTTTGACATCTGACATCAAGTCCTGTCTTTTGCTCCAGTGTGCCCTGGCCTGGCCTAGGACCTCCTCCTTCCCTAAGGTCAGGGGATGTCTGTCTCCATGGGAAGTTTCCAGGGACTCTGGAATTCCCTACACTTGTGACCCCATTTCCAATAGGAAGAAGCAAGAAGAGCCCATTGAGTGTAGTAAGAAGCAAGTTCTGCTTAAATCCAATTACCCCCAGAGGCAGCGGCGCTGGAAGGGCTGTACCCGCGTCTGTGGCTCTCTTTTCAGCTCCACACATCCATCTTAATAGACCGCTCAGTATTCAGGACTCAGGGGCGGGCCCTGGATCAGTGCCCAATCAGGATCTCAGTAACGGCTAAAAACTACCCAATCAGAAGCGTCGGTAACCCCCCACCCCCCCCACCCCCATGCTGGACGATCCGGGAATCTTTTCTTCTGCGCAGCCGCAGATTGGCGACTCTGTCTGGGTGGCCGAGGGGCGCGTGGCGGCTCCGCCTTTGTTGTGCTGTGACCTCCAATGACCTCAGGAGCTGTAGGGAGGACGCTGGGAGACCCCGGAGGCCGGGAAATGGTGAGTGTTGCGGACGTGGGAACGGTGTGGGGGGGCGGTGCTGTTGGAACTGGGCGGCACCGGCTGTGGCGGGACCCAGATCTTCTCCACTCCCTCTGCCCCTTGTCAGCTCTGCGGCCGAGTCCGCGTCAGGCTCCGCTCGGTCTCCGGTTCCTTCCGGCCGCCGGGACCGCGGCACCTGTCGCGGCCCTGCACGGTGACTTGGTCCCGGCCCAGAGCCCGGTGGGCAGCTCGGTGCCCGCAGCCCCGCGTCTCCCCAGCCTGTGCGGTGATGCTGGGGTCGTGGGGAGACCCCTGTCACCTCAGCCCCTCCTTTCTCCCCTTGGAGGACCGGTTTCCTTCAGTGTTTTCCAAATACTCAAATCCTGGCTTCTCTGCATAGCACTTTCTAGGTGTCAGGCCGTTTTCAGCTGCTACTAAGTAAATCTCACAGATTGAGAAGAGAAATTTATTTGGCTCGGGGTTCTCGTCCAAGGTGACATGTGGCTTCCTGTTGGCAGAGGCCTGAAGTGGCACACGTCCAGAGAAAGGGAGCTCAGGAAGGACCTAGGCTTTCATAGCCGACCCACTTCTGTTTTTTTTTTTTTTTCCTTCCCTGACCCACTCTTAAAATGATCCTTCAATCCGTTAAATCATGAATGCATTAATCCATTCATAAGGGCAGATTCCAAAATCAACCTCTTGAAGGTCCCACCCGCCCCGCCTCCCCAATATCTCAGAATTGAGTTTCAGAGGGGACAAGCTGGGGCTGGCGATACATCCCCAGATTTTTAGATCTCCCCTACATTCCCTAAGTCCAGCCTGATGTTGACATTATCAACCGGTTTCCTCCTGTTGATCTATTTTAGCTTCAGTGTTTTATTGTCACTTTCTACAAGCCAATAAATGCCTCTTTTAAAAAGATAAGTTTTTGTAAACATTTCAGGGAGAAGAAATCAGAGAATAATAACTACTACCTTACACTAGTGTTATCTGTGTACATCTCCACCTTTTAATGTTTTTTTTTTAAGCCAGGTTCTTTGTATGTAGCCCAGGCTGCCCTCAAACTCGGGATCCTCCAGCCTCAGTCTCCCTAGTGCTGGAATTACAGGCTTGTACTACCATACTGGCTCCCTTTATCTTCTTTAGGTGTAAACAGCTTACCAGAATGTCCTTTGCTTGAGGTTTCCCTTGGAGTGTGTGTGTGTGTAGTCCCAAGGTTTGAACTCCTGAATTTGCTTGCTAGGCAGGTGCTCTACCGCTTAAGCCTCACCCTCAGACCTTTTTGCTCCTGTTATTCTGGTCCAGTCTGGCCTGGACCATGATCTTCCTGTTTTAGGCTCACCCCGCCCCCCCCAGCCTCCCCACCCCATAGCTGGGATGACAGGTACATGCCACCAAGCCCAGCCTTTTTTTTACTTTGTTAGAACTGGGGGTTTGAACTCAGGGCCTCACGCTTGCTAGGCAGGCACTCTTACCATTTGAGACACTGCCAGCTCTCCATGCCCAGCTTTTTTCCATTTAGGTGGGGGAGGGATCTCACAGACTTTTTGCCTCCCAATCTCAGCCTCCCATATAGCTTGGGATGACAGGTGTGCAGCCACTGTGCACTCCACCAGCCCTTTTTTGTGTTGGGTTTTTTCAAGATAGGCTCTGGTTAACTGTTTGCCTGGGCTGGCTTGGAACTGTGATTCTCCTGCTCTTTGCCTCCTGAGTAGCTAAGATTACAGGCATGAGCCACCAGTGCCCAGCAAGTAAAGACTCTTGCTTATCTATCTATCTATCTATCTATCTGTTTATTTATTTAGTGGTACTGACATTTGAACTCAGGACCTTGCACTTGCTGGGCAGGCACTCCAGCACTTGAGTCATGCCACTAGCCTCCAGCTATTGGTTTTGCTCAGGTTGACCTTGAACCACCATCTTTCCTATCTCAGCCTCCCAAGTAGCTGGGACTACAGGCATGAGCCTCCAACACGCAGCTCTTTTTTTATTTTTTATAGGTTTACAGTTTTACCTATTTTGAATTTTCAGGAAATCAATATTTAGTATCATGCTCAAGGTTTTTTTTTTTTTTTCCATGTTTTTCCCCCCTCCATCTGTTAAACATACCTGTCAAGGTTGTGATTCAGCCCTGTCCTCAACTCATTGCACTGCTTGTAGGACTTGTTTTTGTTTTTTTTTTTTAATTGTCCCCAAGTGCTAAAAGTCATATATTTTTACACAGCGGGAAAACTTGGTTTGTAGATTATAAATGAATTCAGATTCAGTAGGAAATGTATAGTGCGGATTAACCATCTGATTTATTATGCATGTGTGTTTATTCTTGTGATATGCCAACACTTGGGATGGTCTAATTTATTTATTTTTGTCCATCTAGTGTCAAACAGCGTCTTTGTATGCTAATGTATCTTTCCCTATATAGTGATTACCACTGGAAATTGTTTCTCTTTTATATATTTTTGGTACTATATAAATGGTGTTTTTTTGGTTTTGTTTCGTTTTGAATTTTTTAGTGGTACTGGAGTTTGAACCCAGGGCCTCATCCTTGCTAGGCAAACACTCTACCACTTGAGCCACACCCCCAACCCTTTTTTGCTTTAGTTATTTTTCAGATAGGTTCTCCTGTTTCTGTCCAAGGCTGAACTCAATCTGAGATCCTCCTACCTACAACTTCTTGCATAGCTTGGATTATAACTATGTACCACCATACCTTGCTTGTTTGTTGAGATGGGTATGACTAACTTTTTACCCTGACTGGACTTGAACCAAGATCCCCCTGACCTCTGCCTTCCAAGTAGCAGGGATTATAAGCATGAGCTACATGCCCAGCCCTATGGACAATATTTTATTCACATCTTTGTTGTTTTTTTTCTACTGATTTCCTTTAGTACTTCCACTATAGTTGTCTGTATCCTGTTGAGCATAGTTAAGACAGTTGCTTTAAAGTCTTTGTTCAGTATCTGAAGTTTCTCAGGGATGGTTTATTTCAAATAACTTTTTTTTTCCATTGATGAACCTGTTTTTCTAGTTTTTCTATAATCTTTGTGATCTTTTTGTTGAAAAGTAGACATTGGAATATTTAATGGGATAACTCTGGAAATAAGATTCTCCCCCTTCTCCATTGTTTAGTATTCTTGTGAAAATATAGTTATCAGTTTGTCTTATAAATTTCCAAGGTGTGTTTTTTTCTTTGGCAGCACTGGGGCTTGAACTCTGGGCCTCATGCTTGCTAGGCAGGCGCTCTTACCACTTGAGCTACTTTGCCAGCACTCCAAGGTATTTTTTGCAGACTTATTTGTTGTATATAGTCACTGAGGTCTCTGTTCTTTTAGCTTGTGTTCAGCCAGAGTTTTTACAGAGATTTTCTTGAATTTCAGGATCTGAAAAAGAATAAGGCTGTATGCCAGTGGCTGATGCCTGTAATCCTAGCTACGTAGGTGACAGAAATAGGGAGGATCGTGGTTCGAAACTAGCCTGGGCAAGTAGTCCAAGAGACCCTATCTTGAAAAAAACCCTTCACAACAAAGGGCTTATGGAGTGGCTCAGGGTGTAGGCCCAGAGTTCAAACCCCAGTACTGAAAAAAAAAAAAAAAAAGAAGAAAAAGAAATAACCTCACCTCTCTGTCTTTACAGATGTCTCTGTGCTGAGGCCTTTCTTTAATATTAGACAGGGTGTTTAAAACTCTACTTCAGCCTTCATTTCCTGCTGAACTCTGTCTGAGAGAACTGGCAGCTTCTCAATTCTTTTCTAAAAGTGTGGTGTTTCCTGTTTATTCATAGGACCTCCTCAATTTCCCACTATATCTGAGTGCTTTTTTTTTTTTATGCTACTAGGGTTTGAACTCAAGGGCTTTGTGCTTGCCAGGCTGCCACCCTACCTGAGTGCTTTTGAGTATCATAATTTCATTTCTTCTTTGAGGGCGGGGGGCAGGACATGTAAGCGGGAAGAAACTGAGGATTGAACTTGAGGCCTCATGCTTCCTAGGCAAGTAAGTGCTCTTTCCCTTATGCCACACCCCCAGTCTTTAACTAAGGTAATTTCTGAAGGAAGTTTTTCCTCCAGCCTCCCATAATGTTTTTGTTTTTGTAAATTGTCCACTATGGAGGATTTCATTGTGATATTTCTACATATAATATTCTTTGATTATATTCACCCCCTCTATTACACTTTCTTATTTCTCCCCCACCCCCCATAGTGTTTTTTGTTTTTTTGTTTTTTAGTATGGGGATTGAACCCAGGGTTTCATGCATACTAGGCAAACACTTAACCACTAAACTACATCTCCAGCCCACCACCCCACCTAGTGTTTTAATGTTTTCTTCTAAGAGTTGTTTAGTTTTAGCTCTTATCCCTAGGTCTTAGATACACTTTAATGTTATTTTTATATATGCTAAAAGGTAAGAGTTCAACTTCATTCTTTTACATTTTCTTTTTTACATGTGGCTATCCAGATTTCCTTGTGATGTTATTTGACGTCTGTCCTTTTCCTATAGAATGATCTTGCATTCTTGTCACAAAAGTCATTTTATCATAGATGTATGGCATTCTTTCTGGACTATTGTGTTTCATTGGCTTGTATCCTTCACTACATTGTTTTGGGGTTTTTTGTTTGTTTGGTTTGGTGGGATGGGGGTTTGAACTCAGGGCTTCAAGCTTGCAAAACAGGCACTTTGCTGCTTGAGCCACACCTCCAGTCCATTTTGTTCTGGTTATTTTATGGGGTTTTTTTTTTTGTTTGGTTTTTAAGGAACTTACTTAATCAGACCTTTGGAGGACTCTAGAAATCTGCATTTTTGGTTTTGATTAAGAGTGTAGTTTGAGGGAGCAATTTTACTTTTCATTGTGAACCAGATTATCTGTACAGTAAAATCATATAATTAAACAAAAACTTTATTTATACAAAGTATTAAGATATCTAAATACAATCTCATTTTCTGTGTACAATTGTATTAATAAGTATACTAAATCGAAAGCTATACAATGAGAAACATTGAAGACACTTCTGAATTTCCATTTTTCATTGAGCATCAAAAACCACCAATCTGTTAGTCCTTTTCTTGTACATTATTCTTTATCCACAATCTGTGCATCTGATTGGATCCCTGGATTTTATTTCATGTTCTGTGTGGCATTCTCCACAGATATAGATCATTGGCTGCTGCTTTGGGGGTTGAATGTCCTTCTGGGTGTCCATGGTTAGCCCCTCAATGGCCCACATATGCAGTACAAGGAAACTTTACTCCACACTCCCCTGTCGCTGCTGTGACACTATCCTGTTCTGGTTATTTTGGAGATAGGATCTTGTGAACTTTTTGCCCAAGGTTGTTTCAAACCTCAATCCTCCCAATCTCAGCCTCGCAAGTAGTTAGAATTACAGGTGTGAGCTACTGGTGCCTGGCTCACCATGTTGTTTTGATTACTGGTTTTTTTGTTTGGGGTTGTTTTTTTTTTTTTTTTTTTTTGAACTCTGGACCTCATGCTTGCTAAGCAGGCGCTCTACCACTTGAGTCACTCCACCAGCCCTTTGTTTTGATTCCTGTACCACTGAGTAGGTATTGAGGACTTCTATTAATATTCATAAAGGACATTTGTCTGCAGTTCTCTCACTGTCGACTATCATTCTTAGCCTAATTTTGGCCTCATGGGATGAATTTGGAAATGCTCGCTTCATTTTTTTTTGGGGGGGGGAAGAGTTTAAGAATTGGTAATGATCTGTCCTTAAATGTTTGGTAGATTGCACCAGTGAAATGATTTGACTCCTGGGTTTTAGTTTTCTGGGCTGTTTTTGGTTACTGCATTAATCTTTTATTCATTGCTCAGATTTTCTTTTTTTTTTTCACAACTCAGTGGATTTCGGGTTTCTAGACATTTTTACACTTTTTCCTCATTACCCTATTTATTGGTGTGCCTTAGAGACTTTTTTGTTTTTTGAAGATGACATAATCTTGCTACATAGTACTAGGCTGACCTCAAACACGGTTTTCCTGTTTCAGTCTCCCAAGTACTGGGATTATAGATAGTACCACCAGGCTCGGCTAGAGATTTCTTAAGTAAGGTGTGAAGCATTCAGTTCTTAATTGTATTCCACTGCTGTTATACAGGAGCCTTATTGATGGGATTAGTTGTAGAGGGAGGGCAATCACTCCATTGGTGTAAGTATTTTCATCCTCACCCTTTATTTGAGGTTGGAAGGTGACAGAGGGATAGAGCTGGGTGTTTCCCTTGCCCCTCAGGGTCTGGCTGTTGCCATGATTTTTGGAGATGGTTTGAGTGTCCACCAAAGCTTCACATGTTGAAATTTATTCTCCATTGTTAGGAATTAAAAGCGTGGAAATTTAATCTAACCATGGTGTTTAGATTTGGGCCTTTAGGAAGTGGTTAGGAATAGAGATAGTCATTAGGGCAGAGCTCCCATGATTGAATGTTTTCCTTGTACCTCCAGAACTATGAGCCAAAATAAAGCTCTTTTGTTTATAAAATAGCCTGTCTAAGGTATTTTGCTATAGAACATAAAGTTCTTATAACATACCAGTTTGTGAGGTTTTGAGAAATGGTTTTGAAGGCAAGACTTGATAAAAAGAACAGACTTCTCTGGATATATTTCTGAACAGCTACTTCTCTTTCCCCCTAGTGGAAGCAGGATACAATTTTTCTCCGACTGTCACTGTGAGAACTGGAGGTAAAATGCACAAATGGAGACTTCGTAAGACTGGGCTCACTCTTAATTTTTACCTCTCAAACTTGTCCACACTCAGCCTTCAGTAATTCATCAACTACAGTTTAGTTCAAGTTTTTCTTTTATTTAACTTGTATAACACTTCACAAAGGTTTCTGTTTGCAGGTGCAATTCTCTTACTAGTTAGATTGGTTGGGCCTTTCTGAAAATTAAGGTTCCAGATGCTATCAAAAGTTGAACTTTGGGAATAACTGTCCTAAGGATACAGTCTCAGGACCACTAATGTAACTCCTGCACACTGGCACTTTGTGATGATGGGCCACAGGCCCTCTGTTCAAAAAGACATTGTGGGTGAGCCAAGTTGTACATCTTACTACTTGAACTTACCCATAAGAAGTATGTGTTCTTGGTCAGCTTTGCTTTAGTGAATACTTCAAATCTAGCATCAGAATTTCTGTGAGGGAGGATTTGAGCATGGACAGAGGGTAAGGCTGACCACCAAGTCATAGAAGAACTTCACAGCATCTTGTGAACTCTTATGAATCAAGTATAGATCATCAGTGCTGACTGTCTCACCCTTCCTCCATTAAACATATATTAGGACTTGATAATCTTTGAGGATGTGGCTGTGAACTTCACCCAGGAAGAGTGGGCTCTGCTGGATCCTTCCCAGAAGAAGCTCTACAAAGATGTGATGCTGGAAACCTTCAGGAGCCTGGCTGCTGTAGGTAAGGGTGACGTCATCATTCCTTCATTTAGTCAACTAGAAATCATTTGATTCTTGCTCAATCAATGCTGACCAATGAGTTGGTATGTGGAAAGGGTACACATTGGTGAACAAGTTAATCACAGTTGCCATGAATATAAAATCAAATAATTTGTCAACAGTGTTGTGGTAATTCCTAATGATTTTTTCTGTGTTCACATTTTAGGAGTAAAATGGGAAGACCAGAACATTGAAGATGAATGTACAAATCACAAGAGAAATCTAAGGTAAGTTATACTAGCAAGAGAAAGCAATGTCCCTGGAAATTTTAAAAACAAATTAAAATGAATTAAAATTTATTTATTTATTTATTGGCAGTACTGGGGTTTGAACTCAAGACCTCACATGTGCTAGGCAGACACTCTACCACTTGAGCCACACCCCAGCCCAAATTTATTTATTTATATAGTTTCCTCTAAAAATGTATACATAAATGTGACATTGATGTTCACAGTTTACCAAAGAGTTCACTTGGAAACAGTATTAAGAAACCTGATATGGGGCTGGTGGAGTGGCTCACCTGCTTAGCAAGTGTGAGGCCCTGAGTTCAAACTCCAGTACCACCAAAAGAAAGAAAAGGAAGGGAGGGAGGAGAAAAGAAGGAAGGGAAAGAAAAGAAAGAAAGAAACCACTGATATGAATATTTGTGATTTGATAGTAGCCTTTTGCAGAATGTTAATTATTGTAAAATGTAATTCTAATATCTCAATAGGTATTCATTAATAGACAAGCCCTCAGTAATGTGTTTCTTCTGTTTTACAGAACTCAAATGATGGAGAGACTCTGTGAACAAGAAGAAGGGAGCCAGTGTAGAGAACCCTTCAGCTTTACTCCAGAGCCTCTTGTGAACCAGAAAACTCATCCAGAAGTAACACCCCATTACAGCCGCATGGGTGTAGAAGTTCTCGTTGGTCAGTCATCCTTTAAGAGGCACATCACATCCGACTCTGAACATGGGCTACTTGAGTATCAGGGATATAGAGAAAAACTCTATGAACGTGAACGACATGATAAAGCCTTTAGGTGGCCTGATTGCATTAAGAATTATGAAAAGAGTCACCCTGGGGAGAAACTCTATGAATGTAAACAGTGTGGGAAAGCCTTCAAGAGTTTCAGTTCTGTTCAGATACATGAAAGAGTGCACAATGGAGTGAAACCTTACAGATGTAAGCAATGTGGGAAAGCCTTCAGTTGTTCCAGTTATATTCGAATACATGAAAGAACTCACACTGGAGAGAAGCCCTATGAGTGTAAGCAATGTGGGAAGACATTCACTTATCTCCAGAGTGTTCGAAGACACATGATAATGCACAGTGGAGATGGACCATATAAGTGTGAAGTGTGTGGGAAAACATTTCATTATCCCAGTTTATTTCGTATTCATGAAAGGACTCACAGTGGAGAGAAACCCTATGAATGTAAGCAGTGTGGGAAGGCCTTTAAGTGCTCCAGTTCTATTCGCAATCATGAAACCACGCACACTGGAGAGAAACCCTATGAGTGTAAGCAGTGTGGGAAAGCCTTCAGTTGTCCCAGCTACATTCGGATGCATGTGAGAACACATGCTGGGGAGAAGCCCTATGAATGTAAGGAATGTGGGAAAATATTCACTTGTCTCAAAAGTGTTCGAAGACACATGGTAACACACAGTGGAGACAGGCCTTATAAGTGTAAGCAATGTGGGAAAGCTTTCAGCAGTTCTAGTTATGTGAAAATTCATGAAAGAACACACACTGGGGAGAAGCCCTACGAATGTAAGCAGTGTGGGAAAGCCTTAAGTAGTTCCAATTCCTTTAGACGACATGAAAGAACTCACACTGGAGAGAAACCTTACGAATGTATTGAATGTGGGAAGGCCTTCAAGTGTCTCAATTCCTTGTATAAACATGGAAGGATTCACATTGGAGAATATGTATGTAAAACGTGATAAAGTCATCTTTTGTATCAGTCATAGATACATACATGAAAGCATTTTAGTGTACAGCAACTCTGTGGCTATAAGGAATGTTGGAAAACACTTTTTCTGGTTGCTTTTATGAGTTGAGTTTTTTCTGTTTGTTTTTGGGTGGTACTTGGGTTTGTACTCGGGTTCTCACCCTTGCTAGGCAGATGCTCTACCCCACTTGAGTCCTTCCGCCAGCCTGTTCTGTTTGCTTTTAAAAGAATGAAAGAACTGATACTGGAGAGAAATCCTACCTAATGAATGCAGGAAAGCTGATAATCACACAGCCTTTCTAGCACACATGAAAGTTTACTGTAGAGAGAATTAACAATGGAAAGAGTTTGGGAAAGCCAGGCACCAGTAGCTAATGCCTGTAATCCTAGCTACTCAGGAGGCAGCGATCAGGAGGATTGTGGTTCAAAGTCAGCATGGTCTCACAATACCCTATCTCAAAAAACCCTTCACAAAAATAGGGCTGGTGGAGTGGCTGAAGGTGAAGGTCATGAGTTCAAGCCCTAGTACCACCAAAAAAAAAAAAAGTTTGGGAAGGCTTTTAGTCCTTGCAATTTTAGTTTTCTTTTTTTGTCAGTACTGGAGTTTGAACTCAGGGCCTCCTGCTTGCTATGGCAACTGTGATTAACTTCACCAGTGTGTACCCTTTCCACATACCAAATCATGTTATTTTTCCAACAGGGTCTCGTGTTTTTCCACAGCAGGAGCCTCAGTCTTTCTGTGCATGCCAGGCCAGCTCCAAACAAATCTTCAGGACTTGTTTTTGCTTTTCTTATTTATACACTGAACTATCCCCTAAGATGACTGGACACTGCTTCTCATAATGTACCTCAGCTAAAATATATAAATGTACTTATTCCTTAGCACACTGTATAATACTTTCTTAAAATTCTCTTTGTGAGTCAAGTGAGACTCAAAGTTTAGATGAATTGTCAGAACACAAACCTAGCAAGGGACAGAGACTTGATCACTATTCCAATCAGGCCGCTCTCAGGTGATATGTTTAATTTGTTAACATCCCTCATGTCATAATTACAGACTCAAATCACAAAGAGTTCAGCACAAATAATCCAGGCACTAAGGACTCATACTATAGTAACGTGAAGTGAACAAATTCTTGCAGTCCACCATATCTTGGGTGACTCTCAACTGACTCCCCCATGAACTGTTAATCCACGGGACCCTTGAGGCCAGTACCCTGGCCTCAATGCCAATTCTAAAATAATGAGAGCATTGTTTTGAGGAAAAGCAAATAAGGTTTGTTGTTCATCAGGCAAATAGGAGGACAGGGAGAGTCAACCTCTCGAAGCTCTGTAATCCCACTTCTGAAGGAAAATGTCCTGTTTTTAAAGGGGAGATCGGGGGCTCAGTTTGAGTACATGACAAAATGTATGTCCCACAATAGGTGCCAGTCTTGTTTCTCCAGGTTTACTGGTGCCACATCTCCAATGCTATATATCTTGGCTGACAGGCTTAGTTCTCTTGTGGTCAGAGAGAGAGAAGGGGTAGAAGATTGCCTGGTTTAATTGGAGAATAAGGGATGTTAACTTTGGTCTCCCCAGCATGTAGACCAAAGGGGGGAAAATGTCAGTTTGATTAATAAGCAGAGTGAACTGACCAGCTGGCTACACCAAAAGTGTTTACTTTCTGTAGTCCTAATTACAGTTCCAGGCTGGTTAGCTGCCAGTGTGGCCTCCCAAGGAAGGTGATGGGGAAGGAGAACAAGTCCTGTGGACAGTAAATGGATATTTCCCTCTGTCCTTCTCTTTTGCCTCTCTTCTGTCTCCTTACCCTTGACCTCCTCAGCTGTAAATCCAAGGTCTCAGAGGATCTCAAGTTGCAGCCTATGGCAAACCCCTCTGAAGGTAATACTAACAGCTCTGGCCCCAGGGGGCCCCGGGGGGGGGGTCAGGTGACACAGCAGAACCAGGTGCTGCCTTGAGAACTGCAGGAAGATAAGGGGCCCCATCTGAGGTAACGTGTTATCCACAAGCAACTGAGGTAAAAGTTGGAGTAGGGACTGAGCTGGGCTGGACCAGGATTTCAAGGCTGAGGTCATTGATCTGGGCAGTACAGATCCAGGAAATGGAGCTCGGAGGTGGGAGGGGCAGAGCTGAGCCTAGACAGGAGGAGATTGATCCATGAAGGGATGGCAGTGAAGACGAAAGAGTGAGCCCTTTCAGAGAAAGTGCCCTTACGGAGCCCAGGGGCAGTAAAGGAATGAGATGGGCAGACCTGAGCCAGGGGAGGGAGCTGAGCCCTCTGATTGGCTGGGAAGGATCTTGGAGAGACGGAACAGGGGGTCTGAGGTGGGGCTGAGCAAGAAAGGATAGGACTGTCAGAAACTGCAAAACTGAGCCTCTCTCTCCCGCCTACAGCCCCAGCCTTGCCATGAAAGCAGCAGCTAAAACATATCTAGTGACCCTCTGATGCCACCCTCCCATGCATATGACTACAGATGACAAATGAGAGCCTGCAAAAGGACATGACTAAGGAGATAAAAGTTAATGGAGTTCTGGGCATCTGAAATTGGAGAGGGCCTTGGGGGAAAATAGATGAGTTAAAAGTCACCAAGTGCTTCAAGGGTAAAGGTCTGGCTAGGAAACCAAGAAGGAATAGGAGTCAAATCAAGCAAAGGATCAAAGGCCAGGTGCTGTGGCTCACACCTGTAACCCCAGCTATTTGGGAGGCAGAGATAGAGAAGACCAAGGTTCAAAGCCAACCTGGGCAAAATAGTTACCAAAATCCCATTTCAACCAGCAAGTCAGGAGTGATGGTGTGAAACTGGCATCCCAGCTATGTAAGAGGCCATAGGTAGAAGGCAGCCCTGGGCAAAAAGGGAAAAGGTATCTGAAAACCTAAAGCAAAAAGGAGTGGAGGTGTGGCTCAATTGGTGAAGCACTTACCTAGAAAACAAGGCCCTGAGTTCAAATTCCAGTACTAGCCAGAACCTGGGGATCTGAATTGCACAAATGTTTTGGCCTGGCCCTGAGCAAAGAATAGATGATGAGAGAGGTACTTACCTCCTGGGTACAGGGGTCTAGGCTCAGAGGGGTGGATCCAGTGCTCCTAGTGCACACTCTTCATCCTTCAGGGGCACCTGGAGGCACATGGGACACAAGGAAGGGGGTCAGGGTGAGAACCTGGCATGTCAGAAGGAAAGAATAACAGGCTACCTAGGGTAACCTGAGCGAAGTACATAAGGCTGGAAATACCTCAGTAGAAACTGAGTAAAATCAGTTGGGGTGACCTGAGTAGGAACCAGGTAAAGACATGGTTAAGAAGTCCCTGGACTAGATGATGCATTGCCTCATGCACTTTGAACTCTATGAAACTATGGTTCAGGCTGCTGTCCCCCTGGGAGCTCTAGGTCATGCTTCCATTCTGTATGTGAAGATGACCTGGTAAGGGACTGCTGCCCTGCTCCATGCTCAGTCTGGCTCAGGGTCTCAGTGGATGAATAATCTCTCCTGGGGTCTCTTAGGCCAGGGGACTGGCCTCCTTACTCCTTCATACCTCCTTCCTCCAACACTGTCATTTTTTTAACACATGCCTCTGCCCTGTCTGGACCTAGTTCTACCCCTGCCAATCCCATGTCCTCTCCCAAGATCTATGGGCAGTTTACACCCATGTAGAAGCATCCATCTTCAATATCATGTCAAAGCAACTGATGACTGCTTTTCCTCCGCTGTCACTCCCCTTGACTGGATGACAGGAGTTGAGCATGAACCCCACCCAAGTCTCACCTCCCTCTGGCCTCCTTTTCTTTTTTTTTTTTCTGGGTGGGACTGGGACTTGAACTCAGGGCTTCATGCTTGCAAAGCAGGCACTCTACCACTTGAGCCACTACTCCAGTCCATTTTGCTGTGATTATTTTGGAGATTGGGGGTCTTGTGAACTATTTAGCCGGGCTGACTTTGAACTATGATCCTCGCAAGTAACTAGGATTATAGGCATAAGCCATTGCACCCAGCTTCTGGTCTCTTTTTCATTCCAGTCTGTGTCCCCTGGCCCCATGACAGTTGATCCTTGTATGTACTTGAGCTCCTGCTGCCCCCATCCTGAGTACAGGTGAACCATGTGGGAATAGCAGACTGAGAAATTCTGCTGTGCCTCTTGAACCAAGGCACTCTGCAGGCATATGGGGTGGGGCTGGGCGTTCCTTGCTCTTTCTGGATAGAAGGCCATTTTCCATACTGAAGCTATCTAGTAGGCACTATCCACCAGTCATCTCATTAGCATGCAAGAGACAGTGTTATTACTCCAGAGAGGCTAAGGATCTTAGATGCTCTTGATTTATTTATTTATTTATTTATTTCATTTTTCTTTTATTATTCATATGTGCATACAAGGCTTGGTTCATTTCTCCCCCCTGCCCCCACCCCCTCCCTTACCACCCACTCCGCCCCCTCCCGATGCTCTTGATTTGGAAACCTGAAACTGCTGGTGGAGTGACTCAAGTGATAGAGTGTATGCCTAGCAATTGTGAAGCCCTGAGTTCAACGCCCCCCCCCAAAAAAAATAACGCCACCCCCCCAAAAAAAAGGAACCCTGAACTAAAACCCAGTATTGTAATTTTCAACATGTGCCCTCAATGAGCAGGTGGTATGACAATTATGGAGAATGTCAGCAGAGAAACTGTTCTTAGTACTCAACCAAAATAGCACTACCTAAACTGGGTGCTGGTGGCTCATGCCTGTAATCCTAGCTGCTCAGGAACCAGAGATCAGGAGGATCGAAGTTCAAAGCCAGCTGGGGCAAATAGTTCCGAGAGACCCTTTCTCAAAACATCCATCACAAAAATAGGGCTGGTGGAGTAGCTCAAGGTGAAGGCTCTGCGTTCAAGCCCCAGTACCACACACATACACACACACACACACACACACACACACAAAATAGCACCATCTAT